CCTTACTGCTTATGTTTCTTGCCTATAACGTCTACTACCAATGTAACTGGCTAAAAACAAACTTCTGAGCTTATTACCTACCCATTCTGAGTTAATGATCCTGGAAAAATTGTGGGTTATACCTATTTTCTTGAGGAGGGTAGCCTCATTTTGAGACTAGCAAATGTATATCTTACAGCTTAGGGCATTTAATGAGAGTAAGGTCCCATGCTTTCTTTGTATTTATGAAGTCTTCTTTACCCTCAGTCACATCTCTAGGAAAGAATAGCTTCCCTCTGCCAGTGTCCTTCATAGTTGTAGAATTCTGGCGCTGCTGTTTCAGTGAATTTACTGTTGCTATTAAGGACTATGAAGCATGCAGAATGAAGAAACTTTGACTTTTTTTTCTAACTGCTTCTTAAAAAACACTAATGTAAGTCTTGGGAAGTGGTTTGTTTGTGTTACCAGCATTGACTACTTCTAGGAAAACTTTTTAAGTTATTTTAGAAATCCCAGATAAATAATGCTATATGTATTAATCGGGGTGAATTCTTTTTTTCTCCTAAATACATTGTATGTGCTATGGTGTGCACATAGAGGTCAAAGGAAATTTTTAGTACTCAGTGTTTTTATTCCACTGTGGCTTCCATGGATCAAATTTGGATTTCCAAGCTTGGGTGGCAGGCATGAGTGCTTTTTTCCCAGTGAGCCAAGACTGAATTCTATCTCTGACCTTGGTCAGTTGGTATATATGAGTTCTGAACTTTCTTCTTTACCTCATGCAGACTAGGGGGAGCAATAGTGCTTGCCTCATGTAATTGTGAAGCCCTAATGAACACTTCACAAAACACAGAGCCCAGGCCTGCACAGCCTAAGTGTCCAGGAAATGTTGGGCAGCACCAACTTTCCTCAAACATATGAAACCTAATTTTATCCTGTCTTCTAAGCAGTGCTTTACTCCTCCAACATGTAAGGAAGCTTTTGGGATTATTGAAAGATGTGCATTCATGTGGGACTCAAGTTATCGCTCTGATCTAGTTTTTAATATCTATGTTTATGAATTAGCCTATTCTGGCATTTTTATGGCTTGAATGTGAAATATACTGTAAAGTCTTATGTATTTGTCCCCCAGATGCTGTTACATTTTATGACATTGTAGGCCTTGTGGGAGCAGAGGGTGTTAGGATTCATTCTAGCCCTTCTCCTTGCCCACTCTCCTGCCACCCAGATCCACATAGATAGGAACATGCTTGTGGGGAGTGGGCTTCCTGCCCTGAGTGAATCTGTATTGCTGACATGGCACAGCCATGCTAAGGATCCCAATGCCTCAGATTCATGGAAATGGCAAAGCCTTCCTCTGGTTCAGGTACATGTCTTTACAGATTGACCAATGTTTGTGTTGTGAGGGGATGACGACAAAAAAACAAAACAGAAAAAACTAGCATACTGCTTCCTCCTCCCAGGTGACTTCAACTTGATGCTGCTCCCCTAGACTGCCAGCCTCCATGTACTCTACATAATAAACACGCCCAGTTTCCAGACTACATAGGAGTGCCCTCTATCAGAGCACAGCCCACCCAACCCCAACTATTCTGTGTGTTTCTTCAGTTTGTCTTCTTCATTCCTATGATGCCTATGATGTCACGTTCCCAGGTCAAAGTCATGACATGGCACATGCTCTCTCTGCCATACCCAGTGCAACTTATCCATGGTGGAATGCTAAGCCATAAACCAAAATAAGTCTTTCCTTTCTTACTTAGCCAAGCCTTGTATCACAGCAGTGAGTAATCCATTGAGTTGACTACTTTTTGCTTTTGACTCATTTAGTGATCATTCTCAATTATGTATTAGAGATGACTGTAGTTTTCTTCTTTCAAGTGAGACAAATCCTCAATTTAAATGACAATTATTGGAACTTAGATGCAGCTGAGTAATAGAGCTCTAGTGGAAGATCCTGGGGTTTGAACTGTTTGGAGACAGGGTCTCACTTGCATGGCACTTGTTATGTAGACTAGGCTGGCCTAATCATAGAGCTCCTTGAGTGCTGGGAGGGACTAAAGCTGTACACTGCCACACCTAGCTTCCCTGTTTTTATTCTGCTTTGAGTTGTATCTCAGTTGTTTATCCCACATGGACACACTGAAACATAATGTGGAAGGTGTAAGCAGTAAGAAGATGGTTTATTGTTGAGCAAGATTAACATTTGTCAGTTTCATAATAATGAACTGTTCAGTGTTACAAGGAGTCAGTGTGGCCACCTTTCTTACAGCTTGCACTTAAGATGAATGGTGCTCCTATTGTAGTCCAGACATTGCAGTGAAGTTCCCAGATCTCACTGTAATGTCTGGTCAGATGGAGAAAGGCCAGGTCTCTCCCTATACAAGTCTAACAGTAGCACTGTCTACAGCTTCAGCTTTGATAGATACTTGTCCTGAACTTGCAGTCCATAGGGAAAGGCTTGTTTCCTCTCTACTCCTTTTAAGAACACACTGTAAAGAAAGCATTGAGGAAACATGCCAAACCTGTTCTCTCTACAGGTAGTGCATGTGGAGGATATTCAGAATCCTAAGTAGGGTTCACCCAGGGTCCTGGGAAGTGTTTTTTTGTTAGGCATTTGTGCACTGTCTCCATAGATTTGCCTCCTGACAGAGTCTTCCTGATTATGCTTGCCAATCTTCCTCAAGTTGTTCTCTCTTTACAACCAGGGCACTTGGTTTACCCACCTCTAAAAACATGCCAAGGCATCCTTAGACTTTTTTTTTTTAAAACTACCATTAATCAAAGGTGATTAGTTAAACCTTTTTTGCAATAGACAGCCAGTCATGTTCTGCTTTGCATCCTATCAAGCGTTTTACTATTCCTGGTTGTATTCACAAGTAAGTAACTCATTGATTCCTTTTCTGTCCAGGCAGCATAATTCGTTGTATGAGGCGCCTGGAAGAACTGCTTCGACAGATGTGTCAAGCAGCAAAAGCCATCGGAAACACAGAACTGGAGAACAAATTTGCTGAAGGTCAGTACCTAGTTTATAAGCCTTTTTTGATAAGCAAATCTTGAGATTTGGGCCTTTGATACAACTTAGAAGGACATTTTGAGGTATCTTGGCCAGACTGTCATAGAAGATCATGTAATACTTTTAAAGTTTTTTTTTTTTTTTTTTAATGGGACATTTTGGCGATTTTGTTTTATACACAGAGATTCCCATTTACACATATTTATTAAATACTATGTGTCTAGCATTGTTTTAAGAACTGTAAGAGTGAACATAAAAGTGCAATTAATAGATCTTGTAGTTTGAGGATGATAAATGAGTGAATGGTCATTAAGTCTGCAAGAATAAAATAGAGAAAAAGACAGCCTAAAAACCTCCACAGAGTTGACATTTAAGGCCTTATTATTTGAGCAACAGCAGGAGGCTAGTGTTCTTGGAGCAGAGTGGGTACAAGTAGGGAATGGCAGGAAATGAAAGGCCAAGTCTGTAGAGTAGCAAGGAGGATATAGGTGGACCAGATAGGGAAGGATGGCTAGACTGTCAACTTGGGGGGGTGAGGAATTGGGAAGCATGCTATGTCATGTCCACCTGTATCTTGGCCAAGACAAGACAGGCTATAAAGTCAGTCCATGCTAGTGATTTCTAACTTACGTATTGTACCACCCTACATTCCACACTGAGTAACTAGACTGTTTGATAGAGGCAGCCGGTATAAAGAGTTTAAAAATATAGGTACTTGTCCTGTTTTATTACGAAAGTTACCAGGTCTTCTGATAGAAAGATAACTACTTGATCTGGATCATCTACTTTTGATATCTTTAGTCCTTTTCTAGAATCATTTTTAATAGCCTTAGTCACTCACGAACACTATGTTCAGTGTAGTTGCCAATCAAAAGAGCAAGGACTGTCCCTGAAGTTCTTCAGGTGACTCTAAGTCTTTTTTTTTTTTTTTTTTTTTTAATGTTACATACCAACCCCAATTCCCCCTCCTTCCCCTTCTCACCCCCTCAACCACTCCTCAGATCAGATAAGGCCTTCTTTGGGGAGTCAACAAAGTCTGGCATACTAAGTTAAGACAGGACCAAAGCCCCTCCCCACTGTATCAAGGTTAAGCAAGTATCCCACCATAGGGAATGGGCTTCAAAAAGCCAGTTCATGCACCTGCCAGTGCTCCCCAACCCCAAAAGATGAAGCCACATAACTGTCACCCACATTCAGAGGGTCTAGTTTGGTCCCATGCAGGTTCCCCAGATGTCAGTCCATAGTCTGTGAACTCCCACTAGTTGGAGTCAGCTGTGGTTTTCCCCATCATGCTCTTAACCCCCCCTCTTTTCAGCTGAACTCCAGGAGCTCAGCCCAGTGCTTGGCTGTGGATCTCAGTATCTGCTTCTATCAGTTACTGGATTTAGGTTCTATGATGACAATTAGGGTGGTAAGGGGAAGGTCTGTTCAGGTGCCCTCTCCACTACTAAGAGTCTTAGCTGGGGTCATCGTTGTGGATTCCTGAGAATTTTTCTAGTACCAGGTTTCTCCCTAACCCTATAATGGCTCCTTCTATCAAGATATTTCTTTCAATTGGTCTCCCCCTCCATCTCTCCTCCAACTTGATCCCTCTTATTTCCTGTCCTACATCCCCCTGCTGCCCTATTCCCCCATTTATGCAGGAGAAAACAGTTGTTTTCCTTTCCTGGGGTCATCCATGCATATCCCTCTTAAGGTCTCCCTTTTGACCTAGCTTCTCTGGGGTTGTGGACTGTAGCCTTGTTTTCTTTTGCTTGACTCTGAAGTCTTTAAGCTAACAGCTTTTTTATATTCCAGGTTGTTTTATTACCCATTTAGTCAGTACTGAGCTGTAAAACCCTAGTACAAGGAAGGTTATGCTTTATGGTCTTGAAAGTTTAAGCATTATTTTCTTTTCCCTTAGGAATCACCAAAATCAAGAGGGATATTGTATTTGCTGCCAGCCTCTACTTATAGAGTTCAACAGTTGACTACAAATGCTTACAAGTATTCAAGTGGTTCTCCCATCTCAAGAGAGTTGTTCCAAGCATTTTATTATATTTAAATCAGATATCATTCTAAGAAGGCATGTAACATACGCATTTGTACATAGCATCTTTCAATTAAAAAAATGTACAGGTGGGGCAGTGTTTTTAGTGGAAGGCTTGAATTTTTTTTTTTAATTGAACTATTAGATACTCATTGTGTTAAATGTAACTATATACACAGGTAAAGTGGGTGTATCCAAGAGGTATAGCAGCAGTCCTGTAATGGCCTATACACCAGAAAGTAATATGCATCCTCCTGCTTTCTGCTTCCAATGGTTTCCTTTAGAAAGCTGGCCAGTTCCCTCACCCCCTTCAAGGCTGGTGGTTGCTTGAATACGTGTGTGCAGTGGCAGTGGTTTCATGTAGAGTGGTGTGTGAGTCATCCTCTTTTCTTTCTTTGTAAGAAGAATGTCTGGTCTTGAAGAAATCCGATACATATACAGCCTATATAGACAGGACAGAATATTTAATGGTATAATTTACATAAGCTTAAAAATCATATACAAAATTTCAGGAAGCAATTAGAAATATAAAATAATTGGCTACACTGGTGGTAGTGGTGTATGCCTTTAATCGCAGCACTGGAGAAGCAGGTATGCCTCTGAAGTTTCAGGCCTGCCAGGGCTACACAGTGAGCTACTGTCTCAAAAAAAAATTTGAAGAAAATTCTTCCAAATGTAGTTGCTTTTTAGTATGCCTTTAGTAAATAGTTTCATTCAGCCAACACTTAAAAAAATAACTCATTAAGTGAATTAGTTTTCAAATCATTCAAAAAAGAAACTTGTTTCCTATAACCATAGGCTTTAACAATAGAAACACTAGGGATTTTACAACATTTACAAAGAAGTAACCTAATTTTTACCTGTCTGACCTATCCTGCAAAAGATTTTTTTTTTTCCGCAAAAGATTTTATTAACACTGGGATTCTTTACCAGGCGTGTTATAACACACTTTTAATCCCAACACTCCGGAGGCAAAGGCAGGTGGATCTCTGTGAGTTCAAAACCATCCAGGACTACAGAGTGAGTTCCAGGACAGCCAGGACTATGTAGAGGAACCCTGCCTCAAAAAAAAAAAAAAAAAAAAGTGAAACAAACAGAAAATGTCATTCTTACTTGGAATTATTAAGCCACATTTTCTACCTTGTCAGGTTTCTCACTGGGGATTTTTCAAAATGTTTAGTAGTGTCAGCATGCAGGCTGCTGTTTGTTCTGTATACTTACAACTAATATTGCAACCACAGCTCCTTGAATGAATCCAGCCAACACGTCACTCCAGTGATGCTTGTAATCAGAAATTCGAGAAAGGCCCACATATATGGATAAAGCAACAAGACCAAATTGCAGTGTGGGGCGTAAGAGTCTTGCCCAGTCTCCTTTCATCCTGGCTTGAAGATAAAGCTAACAGAAAAGAGGGAGAGGGAACAGTTCATTTAACAGGCTAGCTGAAAACTTGAGTATCACACCTCTAAAATATTGGCATGTAGATTATCCAAATATTTACATATGAAATAGAACCTTAGGCAAACATTGTCTAAATTACTACTTTAAAGCACTCATGCGTGCACAGAGACACACACACATGCACACTGCCACAAACATTGCCCCAGAACTTGTATTTAGAAGGATTTATTACCTACTTAGCTATCCCAAGCCCTTCAAAGTGTGAAACAGGACTTTACTGTGACCCGAGACAGGATTTCAAGGTAGGTAGTTCTTCCTCCCCTTGTAGTTTAAGTTAAAATGCTGGTAGTGTATAGTGTTGTCATTTGTTCCTAGTCTTGGGATAAACTGTTAGAAATCAGACAAGAATTTGTCCTTACTCTAGGCCAAACTGCTGTTTCCTGCTCAGCATATCTAAGGACTGTTTGCGTAGCTCACCAGTTTACCCAAGAGTTCTGCTATCCTCACACAATTCCAAATAAGACGAAATAAATGACCTACAGAAGTAAATGTAATAACCTGCCCAAGTAAGTAGTGTGGGTTATAATGTAGTTAGAACCAGCAAAGAAATGTGTTCTTCCCTAGCCTGTTACCCTCTTCTATACCTGACTACATTTCCCATGTTTCTGGCACATAAATACCTGAAATTTTTTGATGTAGAAGGAAATATTCAGTGAATCTACTATTGTTTTAAAAACAAAAACTATGGCTTTTAGTCAGTTAGTTTTAGGTAGTAATAGTGCACTCCTGTAATCCTTGCGTTCAGGAAGATGGAAAGTTCCAGGCCATCTGGGATACAAGACCCTGTGTGCCACCATCACCCCTACTACACACATGCCTAAAAATAAAGGTAATTTTTGAATATTAAAAAAAAAAAACTCTGCAAGCGTTGGGCTGTGGTTGTGCATGCCTTTAATCCCAGCACTGGGAAACAGAAACAGGAAGATCAGGCCAGCTTGGTCCACAAAGTTCCAGAAAAGACAAAGCTACACAGAAAGACCCTGTCTCAAAAAAACAAAAAATAAAATCTTCAGGCTAAGAGGGGATAGCTCAGCTCAGTGTGCTGGCTAGTTTATATCAACTTAACACAAGCCAGAGTCAGTCATTACAGAGGAGGAACCTCAATTGAGACAAACCTCCATAAGATCAGGCTGTAGGCTAGCCTGTAGGGTATCCTCTTAATGACTGATTGATGAGGGAGGGCCCAGCCTAGTGGTATCATCCCCGGGCTGGTGGTCCTGGGTTCTGTAAGAAAAGAGGCTGTGCAAGCCAAGAGGGACAAGCAAGTAAGTAGCACCCCTCTATGCTCTGTACATCAGATCCTGTTCTGGTGTCTTTTGATGAACTGTGATGTGAAAGAGTAATTCATATAAACTCTTTCCTCCCCAAGTTGCTGTGGCCAAGGTGTTTCCACATAGCAACAGTAACCCTAAGACAGTTTGTTCAAGGCTTGCTTTGGAAGCATTAACAGCACGGTTGGGTCCCCTAGCACCCACATAGAAAATCCATGTACAATGGTTTGCATTTGTAATCTCGGTGCTAGGGATGCAGAGGCAGCAGAGGAGGGTCCTTGGACAGCCAGTCTACCTTAAGATGGACTCCTGGCCATGAGAGATCCTGGCTCAAAGGACACCTGAGGTTGTCCTCCAGCCTCCACCTTCACACAGACATTTACATAAAAATAATCTGTTCAGTAATTTATGACAGGATTAAATATTGTTCTCAAAATGATTTGCATAGTAAGTGCATGGTATAAACATAGTTATAAAATGCCATACCAGTTAAGTACTACTGGCTCTATAGAGCACACTCCTCTTGTTTTTTTAAGAGTCTCATCTCAATCATCATTATTTCCACCTTAATTACAAAGTTCATTTTAAAGAGAAAGTTTCTAAACTACATCTAAGCCATGTTCTGGGTACTGGGAACAAAACTCCCAACTGTCAACAGCAAGTTTTTCCTTTTCAGGCAAACATATCTAAGAATTACAAATACTTGCAAATAAAGGTATTTTAGGAAGAACTTCATCTATCTCTGCTGGGAGGATGAGCACAGAACACCTCTATATGGAGTTGGGAAGATCCATTTTTGTGTATCTTGATATAAGGGAGACCCAAGAGATGGGACTGGAAAGAACATTCCTAGCTCCAAAATCCCTTTTGCAATATATTCCTTGCAGAGAAAGAAGCCTGTAGGTATGGTAAGTATTTTTGCAGAATTTTACTCCTTTGTGTCAGTAGTGAAGTAAGTTGCAGCACACACCGAAACATTCTCCAACTAGGCAGCTTTCTTTTCTCACAAGTCTACCTACATGGGTGTTTCCCCCATTGACAAAACATTGACTGGACCAGAAATCACTTCTCGGAGAGAGGTGTCTTGGTTGTTCTACATCATTAACTTTAATAGTAGTAACAGTAATGATGCTAAAAGGAACACCAGACCCAGATGGCTCTCTGTCATCCCTGTTCTCACAAGAATATTCTAGAACTCCGATGAGATATGGATTTCCAGGAGATGGTTCAAAATGGAGGCCAAAAACAAACACTTCACCACATTGCACATTCCTCCCTCCCTGAATGTTCATCTATATACAAACCACAGAAGGCTATGATAATAGATGCCACCCAAGCTGTAAGTTTCACAGGGAAACTACTGTGAGACATTTTTCTTTCCTTCCCCATCACTCTAGTTCAGTGGTTCTCCACCTTCCTAATGCTGCAACCCTTTAATATTCCTCATGTTGTGCTGACCCCAATCATAAGTTTTTCGTTACTACTACATTCATAAACGTAGTTTTGCTATTATGAATCATAGTGTAAATATCACATTTTCTGGTAGTCTTAGGCGACTCCTGTGAAAGGGTCATTCGACCCCCAAAAGGGGTTGTGACCCACAGGTTGATAACTACTGCTCTAGTAAGTGAAACCACTTCTTCAGTGACTTAAGGTAAGATCCTAGCAAGTCAAGTAGCACCAGTAAGTAAACCCAGCCAAGTTTTAAAAGCCAGGCAGAAAAAAAAAAATTGGCCTTAGTAATCAACCAGAATCCTCTAGAAACACTGCATGGCTGATAGTCCTGTGAAAATGTTCCAGGCGTGGGTTCATGTCCAAGACAGCAATTCTGTGCTATCAAGCCACTCTTGAGGTAGGATTCAAGAAAATCCTGGTGAACCTTCCTGTTCACTGCAGGGCCAAGTGTCTGTCAAGTTGGGGGAAAGGAGGGTGACAAGCTCTCTGCAGACATTTTAAGAAATACAAGCTTCTTATCTGTGACATCACAGGTTTTTTATATAGGTGGCTTCTTATTCCTTAGGAGAGGCCTTGATCAACCAGTGGTTATGCCTAGAGAAGATGGTGGGATAAGCTGGCCAGTCCCCCCACAGGCAAAAGTGCAGAGGCCTTCCAGACTCATGCTAACAGTACAACACTGGAGCTTTAGACTTTTTAAACATTCAAGGCAATTTGGGTATTTTCCCCATGTCTGTATTACCAAGGAATGTGCCCTCGGATCCTAACATCCAAAAAGGTGATAAGCCTTTGGCAGGCTAATTATGTCATGGAGGCAATGCTCTTGGATGGGACCCAAAAGCTCCAGTATCACTTGCACTGTGTAAGACTACAGCAAAAGTCAGTAGTGTGCAGCCAGGAGGAGGGTCCTCACCAGAACCTGACCATGCTGCTCCTGAACTCTGTGATTTATGGTAATAAACAGATTACCACACCCCAATCACCTATCCTAAGCTAGAGTATAGGCCAGTCTGAGGTACAAGCTCTGAAACTATATTTAGTTTCCATGAAATGATTTAATAATCTCCATTAGATGACATAATAATCTCACCTGGAAATAGACTGTTGGGGGGGGTTGTTTTGGGGGGACAGGGTTTCGGGGGTTTTTTTGTTTTTGTTTTTTTTTTATTGTTTTTTGGGTTTTGGTTTTATGAGACAGGGTTTCTCTATGTAGCTTTGGAGCCTATTCTGGCACACTCTGGAGACCAGGCTGGCCTCAAACTCAGAGATCCGCCTGCCTCTGCTTCCTGAGTGCTGGGATTAAAGGCGTGCGCCACCAACGCTCAGCTGGAAATAAACTGTTAAGCAAAAACACTTTTACAGCTGGTTTATTTCTTTTTTGCCCAAAGCCTGAGCTTGTTAGCAGTGTTACTGACTCACAGGTTCCCCCACTTCCCATTGTAAACTGGAGTCAAGGGTCAGTTATTTGGGGGCTAAGGATGTATAGCTTGACTAATATGTATATGCAGTGGGGGCTGGCTTTGATCCCTAACACCATAAAAGGGGAGAGCTATTTTTAGAATGGAAAAATAAATTTTTTTTAAAGTCTTAATATTTGTTTGACCTTTTACAAAGACATCCCCAAGCCTGGAACAACACTAACAGCATATTCAACACAAATACTTTCCTAACAAGCTATATTGATTGATGCACCTACATTTGAAAAAGTCTGCCCAAGAGAAAAGTGTAAACAGGTATTAGTTCAGACTTCTCTGGGCATCTCTACCATTCCTGGAGATTTTAATTGACTGCCCTTGAGCCATGAATCTATCCCCTGCTCAGTGCTTCTCCATAGTGTAAAAACAACTTCAAGAAACAAAGCTGAGTGGTACAGGGTCAGGGCTCAATGAAGACAAATTTCAAGGAAGGAGTGGTGTGAAGGTTTAAACAGGCAGTGTCTATACCTGAGGGGTGAGGCTGGCAGGAAAGAAGGTGTGACAGACTTTGTTATGGGCCATCATGTAAATAAATCCCAATAGGACGGATCCACGGGAAACCTGATACATTTCTCGCTGTCCTCTCCCATGGCTACTCTGACAATCACACAAATTTGTCATTTTTGGTAGCCAACCAGATTCAAGGGGAGTCACAGCAAGTGCAAAGCAGGCCTGCTTGGTGCCCCTCCAGCTCTGGCACTGGTGCTGCCTCCTTGGCACTTGGTTCAGGTCTGGGCTGCCCGCCAGGGCACAACAATAGTCAAAGGACAGGCTTTAGGAGAAATTTTTAACTAGCAGTTAATTTGTAAGTGTCGAGAATCTACAGACTTTAAATGACTGTATCTCCACCCAAACCTGGGACTGACCTATAGTGCCAAGATGCCCAGAGAAACAAGATGAGTCACCACCTCAGGAATGTGGGAGAGGGGAGGTTGTGTTATATATAAATAGGAAAGCCAGGAGACACTTGTTTGTTCAGGGCTGAAGTCAAAGCTAAGTAAGCCTACATGGCAATCAAGTAAATGTTTCTACTGTGTCAAGTCAGTGAAACAGCATATGATTACTTTTCTCCAGCAATGCCTTGAACACACCTATCTAGACTTTTCTCTTTGTGTATATTTACAGGTTAAGTGCACATATGTGAGTTTAAGAATTTGGGTACCTGCCATATTGAAGCCAGCTATGTTGGGTATTTTCCTCTGATGCTTTCCACTTGCCTGTTTTGTGTATGGGTGTTTTGCCTGCATGTGTGTCTGCATGCCTGGTACCTATGGAACCCCAAATGGGGTGTTGAATCTCCTGGGACTAGAGTTACAGTTTGGAGCCACCACATAGGTGCTGGGAATTAAAACCTGCGTCCTCTGGAAGAACACTCAGTAACAGCTGAGCCTTCTTTCCAGCCTTATTTTTTGAGCCAGGGTTCTCACTGACCCTGGAGCTCACCAGTTCAGCTAGACTGCTAACCAGAGATCTCCAGAGACTGTCCTGTCTGCCTCCCCAGCATTGTCATTACAGGCACGTGCCACCACACCCATGCCCAGCCTTTTACCTAGGTGTTGGGATTGGAACTAAGGTAGTCATCCTGGCAGGCAGGCACTTCACTGATTGAGCCACCTTCCCCAGGCTCCTGTCACCTTACATCTAAATGGTTCACACTGACTGAGTTACCATGTTATGAACAGATCATGTTGCCCTCTCAAGGGCTCCACATACCCATAGGACAAGCTGAGCCTCCCTCCACTGAGGCCCTCTCTAGAAAAATTCCATCTGTGACCTCCAAGGTTTCAGTTAATCAAAGAAAACAAGGGCCGTCTATTGTCAAGAGATTCTGCAAAGCTCACAAACCATAGCCCATCTAGAGTAGCAGTCACTCCACATTTTTTTTTCTATATGGAAATTACTAGAGGTTGTTCTGTTTTGTTTTTAAGTGTAAAATACAAATCATTGATAGCAACCAAAACAGAAACCTAGATTCCTTTCAAGGACACAGACAGTAACACTCAAGTAGTGAAAACAAATCACACACCCAAGTAGATCTGGCTGAACACTTCAAAAGCCAATCAGTGGAGCCCACAACCTTGTGCTTTGGATAAAGTCCTCCAAGTGGGTATACCTGGCTCTGACCAGCCCAGCTTTCCTCAGTATCCTAGTTAGAAAACAACACACCTTTGGTTCCTTTGGAACAAGGGTTCATCTTAAGATAAACAGAGTGATGGAGTGCTGTGTGGTGTTCACTACCCTGGAATGAGTCACCCCTCCATGGCATAGCTACAGAAAGATTTGAGTGTGTGTCTCAACAGGAAACTCTGACTCTGCTGAGTTGGTAGAGGAAAGCCTTGTGATTTTCAGAATGTTGAATCCAAAAGTTACCTAATGAATGGCTTGAAGTTGTGGACTTGAGTGTTTTGTAACATCTGCAATTTTTTATAGTTTTTTTTCAAATAAGAAACTTAAAGTTGGTTATAAACTCTGATACCAAATTAATTTTTATAAGTCCTCTCAACATTTACTTCATAGATTACCTTACATAGCTAAAGCTGGCCCAGAACTCACATTCCTCCCATGAGCTAGATTATACTAGACCTCTGCGACTGTGCCCAACCATATAATGGATTTTTTTTATCTAACCTTTAAATACTCTTTTAATAATTAATATATGGTCATACTAAGGGAGAAACAGGAACTGCAAATTTACATGCATTACAACTATATAAAAATTTACTTACAAAGAAAATTAGCACAGGACCATCGAGAGAGCTCAGCAGATGAAGGTGCCTGGCACCAAGCCTGCTGACCTAAACTCAATCCCAAGGACACACATGGAGGAAACAAGCATGTAAAAAGCTGTCCTCTGGCCTCCACAGCACGCACACACACATACTAAAAGCTTTAAAAAAAAAAAAAAAAGAAAAAAGAAAAGGCCGGGCATTGGGGGCGCAGGCCTTTAATCCCAGCACTCGGGGGGCAGATGCAGAGGGATCTCTGTGAGTTCGAGGCCAGCCTGGTCTCCAGAGGGAGTGCCAGGATAGGCTCCAAAAGCTAATTCTAGCTTTGGGGATCTGTGGGGGCAAAGTTTTCCCTCCAAATACTGGAAACACACCATAAGTGACATATGTAATTATGTAAGTACAGAAAGAATGTTATAAAAACTGAGTTTGAGGACAGCCTGATCTACAGAGCTAGTTCTAGGAGAGCCAAGACTATACAAAGAAACCATGTCTCAAAGAAAACGATATGTGTGTGTGTGCGTGCGCGCGCGCGCACGTGCGTACACATAAGCATATATATGTGTACATATACATAGAGATATATAGATATACATACATACCGATGTTTAAAGATTTCTAGAATGTGTACTAACTCCCTGTCTTACATATTCATCTCTGGTCTAGTGAGCTGTGTGAGTGAGTGTCCATTTCCTCCATAACTTGGAGTGTACTGCTGACCCACAGGCTCATAACTGGACTTAAGACAGTGCCAAGACTCTGCCTTCACTTCCACTCCTCACATTTCTCATGGGTCAGAGTGGGTCTCCTGCCCAAAGAGTACAGAAGCTTGTACCCCAAAAGTGTTGGCACACAGGGAAGGAGCAAGCTTCCTGCTGGTTTTCTTTTGCTACATGCCACACAGGAAGACACCTATGTGCAGCAGCTGCCCCTGCCACCTGCAGACATGAAGTACTTACTGCTGTAAACATCATGCAGTACATAGAAAACGAAGAGTGGCCAGAGTAGAAGGACAACCTAGGAGAGAAGAAGAGACACGTTAATTTTATTTCCTAGAAGCTGAGGCCTTCCCCTCCTTTGTTCTCCTTTTCTGTTTGGTGCTTGTCATCAAGCCAGTGCCTGTGCATGCTTGGCTAGAGTTTGACCCCTGAGCCACACCCCAGTCCTAGACTGTTCTTGATTGTGACATCTCCTTGGCTCCAGATATCACAAGTGATAAGAGATGGAAAAGGAAATAATCACTGGAAACTAAAGAACACTTCAGTAAACAGAGCCACACCATCCTGAGTTAGGTGACCCCATGTTAAAGATCAAAAGCCATAGGGCCTGAGAGATGGCTCAGAGTTTAAGAGCACTTGCTGCTCTTTCAGTTGACCCAGGTTCGAGTCCCAGCACCCACATGAAAGCTCACAACTGGCTGTAACTCCAGTTCCAAGTGATCTGACACCCTCCTCCAGCCTCTGTAGACCCCAGGCCCGAGATGGTGTGCATACATACATGTAGGCAAAACACTCATAGTCAGAAGATAAAAATAAATTTAAAAATATTTCTAAAAAGATTATAAGCCACCAAAAATGTGAAGATCTGAAGCAATCTCAATGAAAATTCTAGCAAACGAGACACAAAAGACCTACAACAGGCAAGAAAAGCTTTAAGATGATGAACACAGTAAAGATGATCTTTACTATAAGGATGCAGTATAACCCTGACAGAGAAAGGCACACTGATGACTGAAACAGAGCACCTAGCAGCAGACCCACATTTACAGAATCACTTTATTTTCAACAAAAGTGCTAATAAAATTAAAAAAAAAAAACATGGATTTTGCCGGCAGTACACTTTTAATCCCAGCACACAGGAGGCAGAGGCAGGTGAATCTCTGAGTTTAAGGCCAGCATGGTCTACAGATCCGTCCCAGAACAGCCAGAGCTACACAGAGAACCCCTGTCTCGATCCCCTCCCCACAAAGATGGATTTGTCGATAATTCTGGAAACTGCGTAGTCTTTGGGAAAAATAAATACTCTTTTCTTACATTGTACATAAAAATAAATTCAAATGCTGGGCCTACTATAAAAGCTATAGATTTATAAAGCACAGGAGGGATAGATTCATTAGAATCCCCAAACCACAAACTATAGTGCAAACAATCCATGAGGTTTCAAGGGAACTTAAGGGACATGGCTCAGACAGAACAGTGCTTGCCACTCAAGCATGTGGACCTGAGGATCCAGAGGATCACTGGGGCTCACTGCAAGCAAGGCTCGTGGGATCAGCTCAGCACACTCCAGAGACACTGGCTCAAAAGATAAGGTAGGGCATAATTGAAGACACACAATGCCGACCTCTGAGCTCCACAAGCAACCACACAAACAGACACACACAAACTCTTAAAAGTCTATGTTTCTATAATTCAAAGAGTATCAGTAAGAAGAAGAAAAAAAACAAGCAACAGATTTGGAGAAACTATGTCAGAACATGTCTCCAATAAGGCATTTATTAGAATAACTCACAATGCAGAACAAGGGACACTTTTTTTTTTTTTTAATAAGAACGAGAGCTGAGCAGAGATTTCCCAGATGACAGGACAGAAAGGACAAAAGCCACATGAAGATACCCAGCAACACTACTTAGGGACAAAATACAAATGAAAACCACTGAAATACAGAAAACCTGCAGGATGACCAAAACAAGAAAGACTAATGACAAATAACATCAAGGACTCAAAGTAACCAGGACTCTCACACATTCCTGGGAAGGATGCAAAATGCCACAACCACTGTGACACTTGGTAGCCTCCTGGAACTGTGACAACATACATACTGCATGCTGTATGCCCAGCATTTCTACTACTAGGTATTTATTCAAGTAAAATAAAAGGTATATTACATGCACACAAATGTTGACAGCAGCTTTTACTTTGCTTCCTTTATTTATTTATTTATTTGTTTGTTTGTTTGTTTGTTTGTTTGTTTGGTTTTTCGAGACAGAGTTTCTCTGTATAATTTTGGAGCCTGTCTTGGAACCCACTCTGTACACCAGGCCGGCCTCGAACTCATAGAAATCCGCCTGCCTCTGCCTCTGAGTGCTGGGATTAAAGGCGTGCATCATCACCGCCCAGTTTATTTCATTTTTTGAGACAGGGCCTCACTGTGTAGTCCTGGCTGGCCTGGACCTCACTATGTACACTAGCCTGGTCTCAACTCACAGAGATCTACCCGCTCCTACCTCCCAAGAGCTGGGATTAAAGGTATGGGCCACTATGCCCAGCTGAAGCTTTATTTTTATAGCCCCAAATTAGAAACAACCTAAATGTCAATCAACTTTCAAATGACTGAATCAGCAATCTGTAAAAATCTCCCAGAACAACATGGACGAACCATGAAACCAACATGTTAAAAAGTGAAGGCAAGATATAGTGGAGTCCTCACTGAATGATCTCCCATACAACATCCCAGAAAATATGAAACTGTAAGGGCAGAAAGTTGACACAAGGGCTACCACAGGCTCAGACAAAAACCTAATGCAATGGAAATATTTAAAACCTTGATTTAGGACAGATTCATGTATACAAACTATATGCTGGTAAAGCTATTTTAAAGGTAGTTCAGCTAGTGAATACAGACTGTTAACTTACAACTTCGTTTCACTTCACTACAGTATGAAAGTTAGCACTCATTGAGTAGAAACTTGTACTTTAAATATTTCCAATATACAATACAGAGTACAGAACTCTGAATCTAGGCACTGGTAGTTAGCCACAACTACCAGTCAGCCACATGACCAACAAGGAAAGCCAACGCTACTGAGTCTAACGTGTCAGTCACTGTGTGACAGATATTTAGGTTGCGTAGGTATAATGAATACATTTTTTACTTATGACATTTTCAGCTTACAATGACTCTATCAAGACATAACCCTACTGTAAATGAAGAAATGTTTGGCCACCGAGCCACCTCTCCAGCCTTTGAACCAGCATCTTAAGAAAAAGTTTACTGACCATGAAGTAAGTGATCCAGGTTCATTTTACAGCCTCATACATCATAATAAAAAGTTTCAGTAAATGAAGAAAAAAAAAAAAAAACACCATAGCCTAAACAGTAAATAAGGATGGAGAATTGGGGTTAAGGGTGGTTCACGATTCCACTTATTCCTTTGTGGTTCACGATTTCACTCACTCCACAATTGCCCTAGCTTCTCTTACCAAAATGGCAGTCAGCTCCTCTTTCGGTCATCAAAACCTTGTAGCCAATGGATAATACTCAAAGTAACACAAGTGTTAGAGGTCAGCACTCACCTGCCTTCCCTGACTTTTGCTGCATTCCCTCTACATATGTAGTTCTCAATATAGCCATCACTGCAGTTGATTTTTGACCAATCTGGGTCACAAACAGACAAGAAGTGAGGACGAAGTCTGCCTACAGAGTACTTGGCAATGTCAGTTAGGGACTGGCTAGCTGCAGCTCCAAACAAGAAGGCTCCAATGGCTTTGTAAATAGTGGCTATATAGTGATTGCCAACAAAGGAATTTGACTGCAAGGTGCCAAAGTGAACAGACAGACTCTCTCCAGCAATCATCTGAAAAAGAGAAAAACAGGATGATAAAACAATAAACAGGCAACTTTAAACAAACAAAAAGAAAAGCAAGTGCTAAGTTGCATATGATCTTTGTTCTAATTCCCCTTTTAAAACAATCAATTTAGGACATCTGATTCTAAATCACCAAAAGCACCAGGTTGACTGCAGGCACTCCTGACAAAGCCACTGCTGAGCCAAAAGCAGTGTTCAGTCTATATGAAGTAACAGTCCTTGCCCTTTTCTTGTATTCAGATAAACTGAGCTCCATAGTTGCAGTGACAGATCCCAAAAGACAGTTGTGGCTCACTCAAATGAAAATCTTCCTCATATAACCATGTTTAAAATCTACCAGTCTCCATTTCTCTCCAAATCCCTTTGAGTCAGTCATCCATCATACTAAAAAGAGTACTTTGGCCCCACGGTCTCGAAGGTCTGCCAAGGCTCAAAGAAAACAGACTCCTTCAAAGAGTCCTACTAAGAGACCAAACAAATATGTGGGACTCCTCCTTCCCCAGGGTGTTTTCATGTGATTCCCTCCCTTATTTCTCACCACTTTACAAAATGGAGTTAAAGTCTTCCCACGAACACACTGTGGACTGCTGTCATGGTCAGTCTGTGTGTGGTGAGCACACCAGTGAAATGAGTTTAGGGCAGAACAACTTCCCAGGTTCACCACTGTATCCTGAGAGATCCAGTTACAAAATGGACTACTAGGATTTGCTGTTCCAGTAAGACTAGAGGATGCATTCTCTGGCCCTGCAATCTACAGACACTTAGGGAATAGTAAGCTTGCTAACTTGAGGGTGACAGGGAGGTGGAGGGCTGGGTAACCAGGTTCCCTTTGAGATACCCACTTGCCTTCTCTACCTCACCTTAAACTTACAGAAGCAGTTTTAGAAAGCAGTCAAACACGTCCAATTAGGGTATGCAGAGCCAGTCTTGCCATAGGTGAAATAAAAAATGGCTGCCTTTTAGTGGAATCTCAAGAATCCTTTGCTAGCAATTCTTTCATTTGGCTTGATAGCTCCTAGAATCCCCGAGTCAGAGTCTTGCCAATTAGACTATGAACTTTGTAAAGCTGGGGTGGTTTCTTAAGTTTTGTGTAGAAAGCTAAATTTGACACAGGAGCCTAAACAGGAGGTGTCAATAAACTTTAACCGAAGGTACTGCCCGGGGTAAAAGCCAAAACCCCTTCAACACATACCTCACAAAACATAGTCTAGCTGTTAATGAATTTATAAAACCCTCTTTCTGAGACTGGCTCATAGGAGAAGAAAACAACTTCTGGGGTCATCGCACCTGCACTTTTGTGCTAAGGGGTTACCCTTACCAATGTTCAATGGCCTTGTTTTAAGGAACATATTGCCTCTTTGGGTCATTAAGAGGATTTTAGTCATTCCCAATGGGCTTCTAGTGAGAAAAGGTTTCTGTAGCACATTATGGAGTTGATCTTTTTGTGGTGGGAAACACACCAAGTGCATTAATCACCACAGCTTAGCAGTGGGGCCCTCCACGCCTCAGCTGTTGCAGAATTGTGTTCCAGAATCAGGTGCACAGCTCCCTAGTCACACTCAGCACCAGCTGTAGGCACTTCAAACCCTGCTCCTGCCGCTGATGGAAGGAAAGCAGCTCTCTGGTGTGCAGAGCATGGGGCAGAGTACCAGCTGACCTATATAAGTAGCATAATCTAACACTTGCACTGGGATGGGGGAGACTCTAACGCTAACAAGTGCTTTGTTCACAGACATCAGTTTTTTAAAGTTACATGCTCTCCTCCTGACAGAAACAGCCAAAAGAAGTTCTAAATTAAGTTTTCTCTATTTGATCTGCAAACAACAGCCATTTTTCAACTCATTTTGATACATTGTCCTGACCTTTAATCCATTATACCTTGTTCTTAATCTTTGGTCAGGTCTACACCTAAGCCATCTGTGGCCTAATAAATCCTACAACTCAAAGTACTCCTCCTGTTTCATTTATTTAAGACAGTAAGGATACAATAAATTATTAATACACTGAAGAGAATGTTGCAGGGAGTGAAGCAGAATCCTTATAAAGGTAACAATTTTCTAAGTCTCTGGCTCATCCCTTTGAACCTCATGGCTTTCTCTTATCAGCTCCTTTATGTCCCTGTCTACACAGCATCCTTATAGTGTTCTTTCTTTCATTCAGGGCCTACTAGCCCAAAAGAAGTTTGAAATTGCTGCTGCACTCCACATCTCCCAGCCCTCCCAGACAGCTCTCCTAGCTTCCATTCCTTTATATACTCCTTATTCTTTCTGAATATCCAATAAAGGAATTATTGGGCTGAAGAGATGTTTACCAACCCCATCTACTATAACTTCTCACTGGCCGTTTCCTCTGACTGAAGCCCTCCCTCTTGTGTTTTGGCTGTCTCCAACTGACCACCAGTGTGATTACACATCATCTGTAAGTCACGCCAAAGGCCTGGCACAAAGTCTGAATCAATGACTTTTTAAAAATAATTCCCCACACACACACAATTTTCTTTCTAACAAGTAAGTCAATTTATACAAATTTATACAACTCTGATTAAGAAGTGCCTGGAAAGAAAACTGAGTAAGTAAATCAGAATTATTTTAAATTAGTACATGAAGCTGCTGCCCGAAGCAGTTTTCTGCTGATACTAATTTGAAAATAGGAACTGGTAGTATTTTTGCTTTACATATATTTATTTGGGGAAGGGATGGTGTGTGTGTTTTGCAGTGTGTGTGTGTGTGTGTGTGTGTGTGTGTGTGTGTGTGTGTTTATAGAAATGCAAGCAGAGGTCAAAGAACAACTGCAGGAGTCAGTTCTCTCTTTTTGCCATGTCAGTCCCAGGGATTGAACTCCGGCCCTCTTTGGCAGCAAGCACTTTTACTTGCTGAGCCATCTTGCCTGTCCATTAAACAGTAGTTTCATAGCACCTTTAAAAAAGTAATGTGGCTGGGTGATAGTGGTGCACGCCTTTAATCCCAGCACTCAGGAGACAGAGGCAGGTAGATCTAGTTGAGTTTAAGGCCAGCCTGGTCTTGACAGAGCTACACAGCGAAACTCTTGTTTTGAAAAATCAAAAGGAAAAAAAAAAGTAATGTGAACTTTGAGGATCTTGATTCACATTAATTCACTTGTCATTTTACTAAATGTAAAGATAGCATCTGAAAGACTGTGCTGAAAGTGGCTAAGTTTTTATTTATCTGAATATGTGCCTCTGTGTGTATGTCACACTTGTGCAGGTGCCCACACAGCCCAGAAGAGGGTGTCAGATTCTCTGGGCTGAAGTTACAAGTGGTTGTAGGCCACTCAGCATGAGTGCTGGGAACTGAATTGGATACTCTGGAAGAGTACCAACCCCTGAGCCTTCTCTTCAGGCCAAAACACTGTTTTTACAGCTCCAAGTTAATAAAGCGTTATTCCCATTTTAGATTGTTGTGTTAGGCCTGGAGGTACATCCTCACTGCACAGAGAGGCACCTGCTCTGCCACTGACCTCCACTTAGCGGGTCCTACAGTGTCATCTGTGACCTTTAAACTGACAGAGCACAACTGAAAGAACAGCATTCACTTTAAATGTGAATATATGAATCTAGTCTGACATCAGCTGCTATTTACAACTGTAAGACCTCTTCTTAAATCACTTAGTTTAAGTTCAAAATGTCTATTGTTTGTTTTGAAAGCCCTATTTTTGTTTTTACTGTTTGGTTTGGGCTTGGGTGTATTTTTATTGTACTTTTACTAAATGACTAATTATGTAGGATAAATGGCTAACTGAGGTACCTATTTAACACACCCAAGTGGACACTGTCCACTAGCCTCAGCATCGCCAGCACCTGTTACAGAGACATGATGTCTGACATCCTGCCACATACTCTAAACTCTCCAGTCCAGCTTCTCTTCTCTATGTGATCTAGCTGGACTCTTGGTTTCCTTGGCTCCTGGCTCCATCCTGGCCTCTTAGTTCCAGTTTCCTCTTTCTTCCTCTATCCCTCTCCCACTCACTCTTTCCCCTCTCATGGCCTGGTTCAATCACTACCATTCCAGATGCCTGCCTGCTCTCTCCCTTGTATTTATAATAAAAACCTCAACTCTTTAGAAGCAGTCATGTCCTTTTATTTCATTCTTTTCATTCAAATACAATATATTTTGATTATTTTAACCCCTAACACAGGAACCATCCTCCCCTTGTATGTGCATGTTTGTTTTTATGAGATTGAATTTTATTAAGTAGTCTAAGCTGGTCTTGAACTTTGAGTGCTGGGATTATAGGCATGCACCATCATGCTCAGGGAAGACTCTTTTTTTTTTTTTTTTTTTTTTTTTTTTTTGAGGCTGAGAGAAGGAGTGCCTGAGCACATGAGCTGGTTCCCATGCTGGAAAACACAGTGAGACCCTATCTCTAAACAGATGACTTCCTCCTATAAACCATCACAGCCTTGTTCCCCTTTACTAGTAAAAACTAAGTGTAGAGATCTGGCCAAACTAAAGAAATCCCTGATTTCTTCAACCTTTGCCAGATTGTAGGACAATCATGTGGGTTACAGTACAATCCCTCCACCAGATCCTAACAAGTTTCATGTAAGAGGCTAGGACATGCCAGGCTCCAGGACAGCCACTAGAAAATGCTAGGACTGACAAAGCAGCATCTTTTCTTCTGGCATCTCAGTTTTACAAAATAAACACTCATACAGTAGAAGGTTTATTTTCATTAGTTGTCTACCACAGAGTATGAATTAATTAATTTTCATCAGATACTAATACTAATACAGATACTAATCAGATACTGTGCTGATTTTAATGGTATTTCCAAATTAATTAAATGTTAATTTAACATTAACTCCAAAAGTTGACAAGGTACATGTTGTTGTCTTGTTTTTTTCTCTTGGGATCACACTTTTTTCCTTAAAATGTTTACATAAATATTGTTGCTTAAAGTCATAAGGCTTTTTTAAGCACAGAAATGTTTACTTAATACAATTTCTGGATGTAAAGGCCATAAAAATA